GCTCTCTAGGAGGCATCCCCAGGCCCTTCCTTAAGCCCCACAGTACCACTCGCCCTGCCACAGCATGAGCTGTCTCCCCCATCCCTGCCTTCACCCAGACCTGACCTGGAAGGAGAGGGGGAGGAAGAGGCCTAGCTTGGGGATTGCAGCTGAGACCCTGAGGTCTTGCATGGGTGGGGAGGGACCTCAAGGTCGGGGGTGTCACCCTACTTCCTGAGAACTGGGAAGTGTTGCAGGAAACACCAGCCGACTGATGCTGCCATAGATGGGGGCAGGGAGAGGAACAAGGACCCAGGGATTTCAAAATCTCTGTTAGGACAGGGTGGGACAGTGCCCTTGTCTGTGTACCACAGAAGCACAAACACACACACGATGTACTCGCTCACATGCATATGCCAGAGGGCCGGAATCTGGTCTGGTCCCCTTCACATGGACGCCCTAGGTGGCAGTATCAGGTGCATCCACGCTGCTGGATAAAGCCGACCCCAAAGCCCCTAGAAGTCTGCACCATGCATGCACAGAGCCCCTCTGACGCACAAGCGTCCAACAGGCATCATGTGCCAAACTGCAGCAGATCGGCCTGACTGTGCACAGCCTCGGGGAAAGCTTGCATTCCGTCCCCAGCAGAAGTGGGCACGCACAGGGTATCCTCAAGTGCCGCTGACCTGGCTCCACTTACATCCTTAGGTGCCCTGCTGAGCCCTCAAACATCTACATTGCTGTCTGAGGGCTCAGCAGGGCATCCAAGAGCCGGACATGCTCCCAGGTGGGGCTCTGGGAAGAGGACGGGACCTCGGGGCGCTGTAGCTGACTTGCTTAGGAGGTGAGGCTGGGCTAGGGGAAGCAGCCTGGGCGTGTGAGCTGGAAGAGTGTGTCTCCCTCCCTGGCTCCCACCTTCTTTCTGCTTCCTTGCACCATGACATGAGCAGCTTTTCATGTCCCTCTGCTGTGCTACTTCAGCTCTGGGATTTGACCAACCCAGGTCTACAAACATGAATCAAAATAAGCCTCTCCTCCTTAAAGCTGAGGTGTCTGGTATTTGTCCTACGACAGGAAAGTGACTAAGACCTAAGGGAAGCCCTCAGACACACAGTGACACTTGCCTGTACCCAACACCCCAGCACCTCAGTGCCCACCCGGGACCTCAGGAACTCTGCTCCCATGCAGAGTGACCCTGGCATAGATGAGTGTGGCCTTGCTGGCATCCTCTCAGTGGGCACACATGAGATGGGCTGCCCTGGAAGACAGGGAGGAAAAGCTCCAAGGAGAGAAGAAGGGTGGTGGGGAAAAGGGCAGGAGGCAGGCGGGAAAAATAAGAGGAAGACAGAAGGGCAGAGGAGAGGAGGAAAGGGGCCCTGCTGGAGGCTTGGCTACTGCCAAGAGCCAGGACATCCCTGAGACTCCTGGCTGACATGATCGTAACCCATCCATTCCTCAAGTGGCTCACCCCCTAATCTCCCTGCTTCCTTTCACCTGGAAGCTGCCAGCTTCCAAATCCTGCCCTGGCCTTTCCTAGGTCCTCCTGCCCTATCCCCCAACCTGCCTCCTCACAGGCTCCCCAGTTGCCACCCAAGCCCTCTGTGCCCAGTGTGGTGGACATTGATGTGAATTTGACTATGCAGTTGCTACATGGTGTCATGGTCACTGCACCTGGCTGAGGATTCTGGGCAGGTCACAGCCATTCCAGCCTCCAAGTTCCTCTGCAAAATGGCATGGGTTGCTGGTAACCAGCACAGTGAGCCTTAGCAATCATTAAGCAGCAAACCAGGGCACTTCTCGGCCAGATCAGCAGCAGCTGGGGTCACATTGCCACTCCTGTTCCTCCAAATCACTCCACCCACTGGTCTCCAGGACTTCATCTGTATGGGCCCTTTGCTTAGAGTGCCTGTTTGCCCTCCCCCAGGCCCAAAGGAGCCTCCCTTCTTCCTGGGGCTGCGTCCTCCCTGAACTCCCACAGGACCCTCCTCCTTATTGTAGCAGGGAGCTGGGCACCAAAGGTCCAGTGTGCCCCACCCCTGTGTCCCAGTTCCCAGAACACCCTGACATTCATCCTTGCAAATGGATGGATGGATGGATGTTCCTCCCTGCTGTCCTTGTTCCTTGGCTCCCTCCCACACCTCTGAATAAGTGGTTCAAGCCCCAACCTGATTAGACTCTGTTTCCTGCTGTAGCCTGAACCCCAATCCCAGTCCTGCCCACCTCAAGCCCACTCACCAGTCCCTGCAGGGCACCTCAAAATAGTACAGACATGGTTCCCCCACCAAGTCCCCAGTGGCTCCCCAGGGCCTCCTTCTGGAGACCACCAAACCTGCCTCACTCTGCCAAGGCTCCCCAAAGAACCCTCAGGGTGCACTCTAGGGGAGAGTTCTCCAGGGATCTTTAAGAGAAGGACTACCTGACCAGGGGTTTGAACTGTTAGTCTGTCTAACACGAGAAATGGAGGATTGTTTGCAAAGTGGTCCCAGTTACTCTCAGGCCTCAACCACACCTCTTCACAACATGACTTGGTAGCGGCTCCCAACAGAGCCAGGTGTCTGTTTCTAGCCCTGGGATCCAGGCTTACCAGTGGGAGCGGCAGAAGCCTCAAGAGGCTCGTCACATCTTTCTCCTCATGCTCAGGACCTCTGCTACCATGCTGTGTGACTCCAGAGGATGAGAGGCCATGGAGCAAAGAAGCAGGCCAACCCAGATAAGGATGTCTAGCTGACCCTCCCACTGACCCCAGGTATAGGCGTGATCCCACCCAGGACCAGAAGAGCCAGCCAGCTAAGCCCGGCCCAACTGGCCAACCCTGGAGCAAAAACATAAGCCACTAAATTCCACAGTATTTTGTTACACAGCCAGAGTTAACTGACTCACAACCCCTCAGGGCCATGAGGGACTAAATGAAACTAACTCATGTCAGGTGATCCAACCATGCCCAGAACAGTAAGCCTTGGGAAACACTAGCTATTTTTTATTTGAAACAAGCCTTTGAGAACTGAATGAAGCTTGGACAAAGGGGAAAGAGAGATGGACGACACAGTGGTGATGGCCGCTACACTGGCATGCATTGCAAGTGAGTGAGTGGCAAATGTACCTGTTATGGCTTAGATCTAGAAGGTTCCTCTAAAGCCTCATGTGTTCAGAGGTTGGGCTTTTGGAAGGTGATTGGATCAAAGGACAGAGCACTATACCTAGCCATAGATTGGCCCACTCTAACTAAATGTGCTGTTAAGAGGTAGAATCCGGACAGAAGAGGTGGGTAACTGCGGTGGGATGCAGGGGGCTGTATCTCCGCCGCTGGCTCTTCCTTCTCACTCCGCTTCCTGGCTGCCATGAGGTGAGCAGCTGTCCCCTGCCACAGCCTTCCACTAGGCCCTCCTGCCTTGAAGACTGTTGGCTATAGACTGAATCCTCTAAAAGCCATGAGCCAAAGTACATTTCTCCTCCTTTAGATTGTGGACATTAGGTATTTGTCCAGTACCTTTAAGACAAGTTGACAAATTGTCAAGAGACTTTATGGATTATACAGAGGTCCAAGGAGGTCTGGCATGGAGGCCAGAAGCCAAATTGCTGAAGAATAAAGAACAGAAATTCTGAGGCATTTTTCTGGCCCCTGAGGGCAGGGAAATGGGCTCTCTGTACAGACATGTGGGCACAAAGCAAATGACAACAACCTGAGCCCTGGCTGGGACATTTCTGGGGAGAGGGAGCTTCAAGAGAAGGAAGTGTGATCATAACTGTGGGTTGATTCTGTGTCCCACATTGTAGCTCACACTCTGCTGACCTGAGACCTTGGGCAATCCCTGCACCCACATTGAGCTACGTAATTGAGTGATTGATAGATTGTGTCAACTTGAGAAGTTAAGAACTTAAAAGCCATCTCAGCAATTCCGTACCCTAGAGTGTGGAGGCCCCACCCTGGGGTGACTCATCCCTTAGCAGATATAAGAGGGAATTAAGGAGGGATGGAGCAGTCCATGCCTTCACAGTTGGCTTAGACATCATCTCCTGGCTTTTAGTGCAGACTCTTCGGCCTCCACCTTGGATCCTTGAGCCTTCTGGTGTAGACTCATCAGCCTTCCATGGTAGAGCCATCAGCCTCCTGATAGGAACTTGCAGGAATACTGCAATGGGCTCCAAACCTTAGACTAAATCCTTCAGTCTCCAGTGCACAGATGCCTTCTGCACGCTTCCTCATCCAACTCTGTGGCTGACTCTCATAAGCCTATCTTGTAAGTTCGTATACATTTGTACATCTTATGTTATATCTGTTCCTCAAGTAAAACCCTGGCTGATACCTTAGTCACTGAAGTAGCCACAGGGGTCATGCATGAGTGGGTGAAGCAGGGTGCAGAAAGATAGTAGCAGCAGGTTGAAAGGAGGGTGGAGATGGAGAATCAAGATGACCAGTCACCTGCCCCTGCCACTGATTCTCAGGTCAGGAGGGTGCTGACCTGCCACAGGATATTTCTGTGGACCCAGATATGTTCCTTTTCTTCAAAAGGAAAAGGAACCCCTAATCGGCTGGAAGACAGGATTTTTGAGGGGAGACGGAAGGCAGAAGAAGAGGGTTCCTGGGCCAGGACCATCTCAGTCTAGAGCAGGCGACATAAAACAGAAACAGGAATGGTCATAATGTTGGGACCACAAGAAATATAAAAAGCAAAGGGTAGGCTCAGAAGAAAGCAGGTTAATATGTATTTGGGAAAGAGGTGACCAAGGAAACCAAGCGAGCAGAACTCATGCCACGCGCATCTTTGTTCCCCACACTGAGACATCCTAACCTCCTTGTGGCAGGCAGATCTGGGCCCTGGGACTCCAGCTGAGAAATGTGCCCCGGAGGCCATGCACAGGGGCTCCCGCTTTCCTCTGACACAGTGGCCATCTCTGTGCCAGTGTCAGGCAATGATTTTAATCCTTTTTTTTTTTTTTTTTTTTTTTTTTAGAGAAAACATTTATTCATGAACTTGTTGGGGGTGGGGTGGCACAATGGGAACTGCAATTTGGGATGTATTTCACCCTGCACCATCAGGGATGAGGTGCTTCTCGGCTACCATGTCTTCAAATTTGTCTGCATTGGGGCTGGTGAGATAGCTCAGTGGTCTAAAACACCTACTTAGAACAAGCTTAGCAAAGCACAGGGACCGCGGTTCAATCCCCCAGCACCACATGCCAGCCAGCCCCACCCCCTGGTGGGCTGAGCTGGCCACACACACAAATAAATAAATAAATAAATAAATAAATAAATAAATGGAAAAAAAAAATTTGTCTGCATTGAACTTGGTGAAGCACCACTTTTTGGAGATGTGGATCTTCTGGCAGCCAGAGAACTTAAACTTGGCCCTATGTGGGGCCTCCATCACGTGTTCCTTGTTCTGCAGCTTGGTGTGGATAGACATAGTGAACTGTCCAATGGGAACCCTTGCCGCTGTGCCCTGGGGCTTCCCAAAGGCACCCCATGTGCCAGTCTGGAGCCTGTCAGCCCCAGCACAGGACGATACCTTGTTGATGCAGATGACGTGGAAAGGGCTGAGCTGCGCCCAGATATGGAAGCCGTCTTTGCCACAGCCTTTTACCATGTACCTGTTGGCACAAATCCAGGCAGCTTCCAGGGCTTCCGAGGGGCGCTGCTCATGTTCATCAGACACCAGGTGACCACAGAGTAGGAATTCATCCACTTTTGCTTTCTTCTGCCCCAGGTCCAAGATGCGAATCTTGGCACCAGGGACACCTTGGAAGAAGCAGGACTTTGGGTACAGCTTGTTCTTACAATACCAGTAACACTGGGCAGGACGATGTCCCATAGTGACACCAAGGGTCTTCAAAGGTGCACTGAAGGAAAAGAGGTGATTTTAATCCTTCACTTTGCATGCGCTGTATTGCTTCGGAAGAACAAGGAGAAGATAGAAAAGCAACGAATAGACTTGCATTTGTAACAAGACTGATTATTCCTTTAAGGCATGAGAATGGTTGATTATATTCAAAAGCTGTAACACTGAGGCTGGCCTTGGTCGGACATTCTCTGGTCATAAACCAGATCAGTGTGTGCAGACTGGAAGGGCCAGGACAGAGTTAAAGAGTGTTTAACTGGGAATGTGTTTTTAAGAATTGAGAGGACTAGCCAGATAGCCCAGCGGATGAAAGCACCTGCTTAGGCAGATGCAGGGACCGGGGTTTGATCCCCAGAGGGCAGTGCTGGCGTGCTCCCAGGGCTCACTGAGATGGTGACTGAGACTGGGCGTGGTGTCATGAGCCTGTAATCCCAGCACTTGGGAGGCTGAAAATAGGAGAATTACTGAGTCTAATCTGTGTAGTGAGACCCTGTAGACCCTGCATTAAATACATTTTTTAAAAAAAAAGAATTAAGGAGAAGCCTTGTATTAGAATGAGGGATTTTGAAATAGCTTTATCTCTATGAAGAGAAGCATTCGATTTCTGTACACACTTCAGGAACACTGTATGTATAAAACCTGGTACCTTAGACAGAAGCGTAGCTCAGTCGCAGCATGCTTGCCTAGCATGTGCAAGGCCCTGGCTCCACCCCTAACACTGAAAAGAAAAAGAACAAGAAAAAAAGACTAACTGCATACCAAACCTAAAATACAAGAGAAAACTACAGAACAATAACTCTTAAAAAACCATAGATGCAAAATTTTCAATAAAAGCCAATAAAATTGAATTCAGCAGTACATAAAAGGAATTATGCCAAGTGGGATTCCTCCCAGAAAAGCCAGGATGATTAAGCATCCAAAAATCAACTAAGTTAGGATATACATACAGCTACTTTCTCTTAATTCAATGAATAAAATGATTTGTACTAATAATGTTTGTAGACAGGATATCATGTCCACATCTTGTACTATGAATAACCACTAAGAAGACAACAATATGCAATGTATTAATTATTAAAACTGTCCCACTAATCATTTTGAAACCGTCTCATTGCTATTTGTTTCTCAATAAAATTATTATTTTTTAAATTTATTTATTTATGTGTATGTGTGTGGCCAGCTCAGCCCACCAGGGGGCGGGGCTGGCTGGCATGTGGTGCTGGGGGATTGAACCGCGGTCCCTGTGCTTTGCTAAGCTTGTTCTAAGTAGGTGCTTTAGACCACTGAGTCATCTCACCAGCCCCCAATAAAATTATTTTTAAAAAAACAAAAATCAACTAAGGTAATATATACCATATCAATAGAATAAACGAAAACTCTCAAAAAAAAAGTGATAGAAATGCACCATCCCTTCTTGATAAAAACACCAACCAAACAAGAATGGGAGTTAAATTCCTAACCCCGACATCTGTGAAAGCCCACAACTAGGACCGCACTTAATGATGAGGGTCAGCCTGATACCGTCAGTATCAGGAATAAGACAACAATGTCTGCTGTCCCCTAATTCTAGTCAAAGCTGGACGAGAAGGTCTGGCCAGGGCAATTATGCAAGAAGTAATACATCAACAGCTGAGAGATGGCTCAGCAATCTAAGTGCCTGCCTGGCAAGTGCAAGGACCTGGGTTCCATCCCCAGTACCACATGCCGTGCTGCCCCAGAACCCCAGGCATGCTGTGCCAGCCACTGAAACTATACGTGGTGGCACACATCTGTAATCTCAGCACTGGGGAGGCTGACACAGGAGGATCACTATGAGTCCCAGCTTGTAATGAGACCCTGTACCAATTAATTAATTCATTAATTAAAAAATATAATAGCATCAAATTGGAAACAAAGTCAAGCCATGTGTATTTGCAGATGGCATGATCTCATACATAGAAAATCCTACAGGATCTACACACACCAAAAACAGCTACCTAAAGTAATGAATTAGTTTGGCAAAGTTATAGGATACAAAGATCAATACACAAAAATCAACTGTACTTCTGTTCAGTAGTAATGAATAAAACAAAACTGCAATTAAGGAAATAATTCTGCTTACAATAGCATGAAAAAGAACAAAATGCTGAGGACAAGTCCGACAAAAGAAGTGCAAAACTTGTACTCTGCCTCCTACAAAGTATAGCTGAAGGAAACGAAACCCTAAGTGGGCAGATAGCCTATGTTCATGGATTAGAAGCCTTGCTATTGTTAGCTGGGCGTGGTCTCCAAATTGACCTACGTGGTTAATGTAATCCCTACTGAAATCTCAGCTACTTTTTTTTCAGATGTAGACAATGTGAACCAAACTTTATATGTAAATACAAGAGTAAGAATATCCAAAATAAAAGGAAAACAAAATTGATGGGTTTGCACTTCTCAGTTTTACAACTTATTGAAACTGACAATAGTCAAAACAGTGTGAGACAACCGTAGCAACAGATATGCCCCTCTGTGGGATAGAATAGACCAGAGACCAACTCTCACCTTGAGGGTCAGTTGACAGATGACAGCAATGCCAAGATTATTTAACAAGTGAAATGTGGTCTTTTTAACAAATAGCATTGAGGCAAGTGGATATCCACAAACAAAAGAATGAATTTGGACCCCAGCATTATGCCATCCACAAAAATTAACTCAGAATAAGAGCTAAAACTACTCTTAGGAGAAAAAGCATCAACATAAATCTTGGATTAGGATATAGGCTTTTATATACGACACCTAAATCACAAACAACAAAGGAAAAAGATAAACAATGTGGACTTCATCCCAATTAAATGCTTTCGTGCCTGAAAGGACACTACCAAGAAAATAAAAAGCAACCCACATGTGCAAGTAGGAAGGCACATGCAAAGCCTCTATCCAGCTCTAGTATGAAGAATACAGAAGGACTGCAACTCAACAAATAAAAGACAAATAACCCAGTTTTAAAAGGGGCAAAATATCTGAGTTGACATTTTCAAAAGCAATTATACAAATGGCCAAAAAGCACAAAATGAAGCCATTTTCAACATCATTTATCATGAAGCAAATGCAAGCCACAACCACAATTAAGTAGCATTTCACACCAACCAAGATGGCTATACTCAAAAAAGACAAATAACAGGCCAGGTGTGGTGGTGCGTACCTACAACCCTAGCACTATTGGAAGCCCAGACGGGTGGACCAGAAATTGGAGCCCAGCGTGGGAAACTTAGTGATTTAGTAAGACCTCATCTCAAAATAAAAAACAAAGAAGGGCTGTGGCTGGGTTCAATCACCAGTGCAAAAAATAATAATAAGTGTTGGCACGGATGAAGAAAAACTGGAGCCCTCCGGACCTGTTGACAGCAGTGTGAAAAGCAGTGACCATTTTAGAAAACAGTCTTGCAGTTCCTCAAGTGGCTAAACATCCAAGATTACCACATGGCCTGGTGTTATAAGTGTGTCTACTTGTCTCCGTAAAGCCTCATGCAGTCACGAGTACAGGCTTCTAGAGTTCCGGTGGATGCGTGACCCGATGTTGGGATTCTGGATGTGAGTGCTACCCCGCCCTGGGGCGGAGAGCCTGAACACCATATAAGGAAGGGAAAGCGGCTGGCTCTCTCAATGCTCCCTTTTTTGCTACTGCTGCTTTTGCCACCTTCCCCACCGGGAACTGCTGCCCTCTGCCGTGCGCCACCCTGCCTTAGAGCCAGCCAAGTATGGGCTGAAGCCTCCATGAACTGTGAGCTAAGTAAACCTTTCCTTCCTTAATGCTGGGCATCAGGAATTTTGTCTCAGCAATGAGAGAAATGTAGCTAAGACATCTGTCAATTACAGTTTATAATATAGACCCAAAAAAGATGGAAACACATTCCCACAGAAAAGAAATACCCAGGCCACTCATCCCACCATTCTTGCCACTCTCCAAAGCAGTTCTGGCAGTTCTCTTTCACAAGTGTCTTTAGTGGCACTGTTATGGCTGCCTTGGTGTCCTGAATTGTCTCAAAATGTTCACCTTTCACGGTCATTTTGACCTTGGAGAGAGCCAGAAGTTGAACAGTGCCAGATGCCATGGATAAAGCGGATGGAAACTCACTGTAATGTTTTCACGAGCCTTCCTTTCCACCGGATGCCACTCCACATAGAAACGCACTGTATTTCTTTAAGTTATATCTCATAAAGACTCTTATGAAAGAAGCTTCCAGAACAGCTTCAGCAAATGGCAAGAACAACAGGATGTGTGTGACCAAAGCAAAAGGAAGTATTTTGAAGGGAATTAACCACTGTGTGCCTTTTGCTTAATTTTTTAAATTTAACACTTACCATATATTCTGAGATACACATAAGATACACACATGCAGGTGTGGTGTGTGGTACATGGTGTGTAATGAGGGGATGGAACTCAGGGCCTCAGGTACGCTAGGCAAGGGCTCTACCACCAAGCTCCATCCCTTGCTTTACAAGATACTCAGTTAGAAAAGCTAGCAATTAATGGAAAGGACAACCCGATTGTTAAGAAGGCTTGAATAAGCACCTTACTGTTGAGGGGGGGTGTGCTATAACAAAATACCTTAGACTAAGTGATTAATAAACAGCAAAAAATGATCACTCACTGTTCTGGAAGCTGAGACGCCCAGGATGAAGGCACCAGAAGTCTCAGGGTCTGGTGAGGTCTTGTTCTCTGCTTCACAGGTGGCACCTTCCTTTGTGTCCTCCTGTGGCAGAAGGAGCCAGCGAGCTCCCTCGGGCTCAAATCACCAGAGCTGGCAACACCACGAGGTAGAGGGAAGACGCAGAGCCCAGCCCTCTGCTGTATCACTCATAGAAGTAAAGATGGGCGCGACCACTTTGGAAAACTTTTGAGGGGGGGACAGAATTAAAGAAAGCGAGAGGAAGGAGCAGGGGAGAGGAGGACAAGGAGAAGGAGAAGGAAGGAGGACACAAGATTAGAAAGAAGAACCGAAGACAGG